GTATTTTAAGTTGCTGGATCAGATCTTCCCTCTACTCCTTCTGTGAGCTTATTTATGATATTCATTTAATATGTCATTGAATGAACTGGCTTTTGTCTGCTTTTAGTTTTAGGTTTTCCCCCTACTTTTCATCCCTGATAGTTTCATCTTTCAAGCATATGGAACATTAACATCTTTCTAAGTTATTACTACACGTATGGGAACTGTGCAAAAAGTGATATCTTAAGAACTGTGGCCCTCTGCTGACTCCCTCTTATCTGTCAGCAAGTCACTGTTCTGCACATCATCAGCTGGTGTAGAAAAATAACTCCACTGTCTGCTGGCTGTTTGTCCTGGCATTTATTATAAAGACAGTCAGATTTATGTCGTCTTTTGCAAGGGCCCATCCTACTTTCCAAATCTTATTCCTGGTAGTGCTATTACTGTTTTACTGATGAAGAAACTGAGGCTCCTTGCTCATACTATTGCACACCAGACTTGCAAATTTGCCTTTTTGATAAGTAGCCTATTTCATGTGCCTTAGAATTTGGATAGTACTACATAAGATACCACATGTTGCAAAGCAAACACTTGGAGCTGTACAGTCCTTAATGAATGCGATTGCTCCCAAACAAAACCACAACCCTGATTCTGGGAACACGATTACCTCATTTGGTTTCCAGAGTATGTAGTCCTTTTGGACTAGGGTTTGCATTATCTTTAGCATATTGTATAAGGCTATATCAAGCTAGAAGGAGCATTATTTATTTTTTAGTGGAAATAGAATTCACAAATAAATTAGAAGTTGTTTTCATTGCATGTATTATAGATGATGATGTGCAGCAGTCATCTTTAGTTTCAAGATGTCATCACCCCTAAAGTAGACCTTGGGCTTATTAAGCAAATGATTCTATCTCTTACCCATTACCCACCTTAAACGAGACAATCACTTACCTGCTTCCATGTCTTTAGCTTGAATATTTCATGTCAATGGAATAATATAATATGAAGCTTTTTTAACTATAATTTCTTTTAGTAGGGTTGATATTGAGGGTTTATGTGTGCTTCAGCATGTATTAGTATTGCATTCCTGTTGACAGCCTGATAATATTCTATAGAGAGAGACCACATTTGGCTTGTTTGTTTCATCCATGGATGGACACACTGGGGAAAGGGTTTAGTGAAGTCAGAATGAGGAGTGGCTTGTGTGTTGTCTTATATCATGCCATTTGCGAGTCCTATGAACTTGAACAAGCTCTTAAACTGGCTTGTGTCCTAGTTTCCTTATTTGCAAAACAACACCGATAGTATCTAACTGAAAGTTGTTTCAAGGATTGAATCAGAAAAAAAAGTTTACAGCAGAGTACCTGGTAAACAGTGGGCCCTCAAAGAACAGTAACCCCTTCACCATGAAGTTGAATGGAGAGGGGGCATATGAATCTCTGTTATAGTGTATGCTTTTGCATGTGTTTATTCGGTTATAATCCTTCTTGCTGCTGCTGCTTTTTTTTTTAAGGTATATCTGTTTTCTTTGCTTTTTGGTTTGATGCTTTGGACTCCCACCCTATTCCTTAACATGGGATTTTACATTTTAGAAGCAGTTCTCCGGACAGAATATCTGTAGTGGAATGTTACATAATTCAAATTTAGATTTGAAGAGCTCATTATAAGAAAACCTGACACACTTCAGGAATATTAAATTACTGCAGATTGTGTGGAACAAGGAAACATTATTGAAGCATTTCAAAATTCTAGACAGAGCCTGGATTTAACAGATAGGGTTTCACAGCTTTTACTGGGGAAAATAATTTGAGTTGTCACATGGTTTCTGGCCCTGAAGGCCTTTAATCTCCTTAATTACAAGGAAATGAATTTCCTAAATAATTTGGAGGTACTTCACAGCATTTGCTCAACCTCTGGCTTTTGGAAAATTAAAGGGGATGGGGGGGGGAAATGTCCATGCTGAGTATGTTCATTCCTGTACTGCAGTTCCCTTATTTGTTGTTCATTCAGAATGGTGCTGCTGTTGCTTTTCATTATGGATAAAGGGACATACTTTAGAAATAGATAAGCAATGCTTAGGACAGTTGAACACATCATATTTTTGTCTAAGAAGTGACTTTACATAATCATGTATCACTGTATATTGTGTTACATGGTGATAATTAAAGCTGAGAGGACTAAAGGAACTATACTCAGTCTGGTTTAAATATATATATATAATATATATATTCATATATATATATATTATATATATATATATATTCATAAGTCATGGGGCTTGAACTCTGGGCCTGGGCGCTATCCCTGAGCTCTTCAGCTCAAGGCAAGCATCTCTACACTTGAGCTACAGTACCAATTCCGGTTTTCTGGTGGTTAACTGGAGGGTCTCACAGACTTTCTTGCTAGATCTGGCTTTGAACCACAATCCTCAGATGTCAGCCTTCTGAGTAGCTAGGATTACAGGTGTGAACCACCAGCACCCAGGTGGTTTTATATTTTGACTTTTAGGAATCCTTGAAATTATGTAAATAGATGTATTTCACCTCCTTAGTGTAGCTATGGATTAGAGACCTACTGAGTGTAGGACCAGCATCAAGGGAAATCTTAGATTCTATCACCACTTGAAACTTGCAGACTTCCCCTCTCTCAGTTTCCTCTGTGGACATCACATGCTGGCTATGTAGTCATGAGCAGTAAGACAGAAAACTGCTTCCTATTTACTGAGTGCCTGCCAGGAACTGTAGCATGCAGTCTTCAATCACATTGTATGTGCTGCTACTTCATTTCAACAGCTTTATGGATTTGGCAGTATTAGATCCCATATATAGATGAACACAAGGGTGGAAACACAAGTTTCTCAATACTACAAAGCTAGTCAGCCACTAAAACTATGAACACAAACAAGGTGATCACATTACTAGCTTCTGTGTGAATGGAGGGAACAGAAGATTTTCTCTGCCTGGACTGCCTGCCTCAAGGGAACCTTATCAGTCTTGTGGAATGTCAAAGCAGACCGAAAAAGAGAGATGCAACAGAAAGCAACACTGGAAGCAAGGGGAAGATGATCAGTATTCATACATTTGGGTGTTGATTTCCAGCCTTTGTGTCTTAACCCATGGCAACTCTTTTCCCGAAAACAACCATTTACTCATTCTTTTATTATAAATATGTTTATTGAGAGCCCATTGGTCCTTTCACTTGACCATTTCTCAGAATTATTCAAGATCTTCAAGGGCTTATCCTTTGTTCAGCTCTATTGAGTTTTCCCAAGCAGAGATAAACATTTGTTTCTTTACACTTTATTATGCCTGGGAATTATGACCACTTTAGGTCTGATCATATGTGTGTGCTGCCTTCCCCAATGTGACTGACACCCCCTCTGCTCTAGTGTATTTCTTTGAATTACAGGACCACACTTTGATGATGTTCTTCAGGCCATCATGGAAATGTAGCATTTACACAGTAAATAAATGTCTCTGGACATGAAGGATCTGGTATTTATAGGGGGCCCATAATAGGTTTTAATAAATATTAGCTGCAATAAAGTGCTGAATATTAAATATAGTTGTGTCCACTTGTGACCACCAAGTTTGGGACTTTAGCATCATTTTGGGGGAGGAGGAGCTGGGAAGAGAAACTTGTGGTCAAGTGTAGATGGTGACACAAATGTGACAGAAATTCTGATTTTGCTGTATGGTTTCATAGACCCCATTCCTGGATTCCTTGTTTCTAGCTTTGGGTTTCTAGATTCTTTAGTTCTAGCCTTGGGTTCTGTATTCTAGGTACATACCTTTCGGGCTGGTGGTATCCTTTTATCAAAAATCAATTTATTTTATTTTAAAATACATGAAATATCTTTGGAGAAAGTGAACATTTCCTTACATTTAAACTTTACTGTCATTTTATATAATTTATGTATTAGATCTTCTGGCTTAGACTTTAGCTATCTTTAATTCCCATGATTATTGGATCACTATTCTTTCTGAACTGAAATTGGCATCCAAGGACAGCTCTCTGATTAAAAGAGTTGTAATTCTTAAAATGAGCTAAGAATTGGCTATACAGTTTGAAGATCCATTTTTCCAATTGGAACAGATTTTTCTTAATAAAGTGGATAACTTAAGAAATATTTATTTCCGACAGAATATTCAGACATATCTATCAGATAGTCTTGACCAAGGGAGAACTTAGTTTAAATGTAATCAAACAAGATAATGCAACAGTAACCGAGAGCCTAGTATCTAGCAAGTACATAGCAAATACTAACTGTAATTGATGTAGCTTTATTTTCACTATTAATCTCCTCTAGCATATCTGAACTTAAATAATGCCTAGTACTGAGCATATTTATGAATGGGTGGATGGATGAAAGAATGGATGAATGAATGATAATTATGATTGCCTGCTTAATTTTCTTTTCTTCTCTATATGAAATGTCGATGTGCTCTTATAGCTGAGGGAGAAACTGACCTGAAAGTTGTCTTCCCAGAAAGTTTTTTAGTGCCATTTGTCACTTCAGCTTGGATCCCACTTACATGTCAACTCCATGTCCCCTCTGATGCCTTTCAGCCATGGACAGACCACAGGCCACTCCCCTGTGTGCTACTCAAGCTCTGATCAGCCTTGGCTGATGGATGGGAAATGTCTTCATCATACTGGTCAGGAAATGGGTCTTTGTGGTATTTTCTGGGTGGCATCTAATGTTTGACAATAAGGAACATAGGTGAACAAAAGAGTTGAGATTCGGTCCTCTTGCAAACTTGTGTGAGTTCCTCGGAGTGAGAAAACAGTTTTGCAAACAAAAACAAAAAACCTCTGCTCCTTCCCTTTGCTGTGTAAACACCCCTTACATGGCAGAGTAAGTGACTTCATGAAGAAATACAAGAAGTTTCTGTATAAAAAACAAGGTTGCTTCTTGTTTTTGTATGTTTGTTAGTTCATTGCCACCCCCCACCCCATAGCTTTTGTTGGATCTCAAAAAGATGAGAATTCTAAGTGTTCTCTTGCCTTAACTTGCAGCACCTCGAAAGCGTGAATGACATGTGCTGCGTGGGGTCTCATTTCTGAAGGGAGGAGTCTTTCTCTTGGAGAGGACCCTCAATGAGCCTGGCCGAGGCCCGGGATCTGTGTGAAGTGGACTAAGGATTAAGTAGGATGTCAACTGAGACAGAACTTCAAGTAGCTGTGAAAACCAGCGCCAAGAAAGACTCCAGAAAGAAAGGTAGGGCCAAGTTGGCTTCCTTCTTGAAAATAGATTTTTCTATATAAGACTGGGATTTAAATCACTGGAATGATACAAAGAGTATGTCTGTGGTTGTATATATTTTTTAAAAAGTTATTTGGTATAGTTGGTACTCACATGTGAATGGCTCTGTCATTTTCCAGGTAATATTCAAGGTTCTTTTTTATAATAAGCAAAGCGCTACTGTAGATGCTTTCTGCTGATCCTGTCAGAGACTACTTCTAATTTCCTTCAGCCTCCAAATTCTACTCCTGTGCAGACATTCTGCCTGTTACACTTCATCTTTGTATGCTTAGGTAATTCTCAAACTTTGGCCCAAGAGCCATCACCAGAGAATGTGGGCTGCCTGAGACTGCATTCATTCATAACAAGTTCTCCAGGTGACTCCTGGCCTGCTGGTCTACAAGCCACATGCTGACAAGCCCTGAACTGTTGCCAGAAATCCTGCTTTGCTCTCTAGGTGTCCTGGACTGATTGATCCCTGCCTTTTCTCTACATTGAGCATCAAGCTTCATGGAACTTCCTGCAAGAGTGTTTTCTCATTTCAGTAACTTGCTTTTATCTGCTCTGCTTCAGTAGTACTTTGTTAGTAAAACTCCTGGGTCAACTGTACCATTTTCTGGGCTACACTGCTTATTCACCCTATGTGTCTCCACATGTAGAATGTGTTGACACAGAGAGAAGCCACACAGACATCTAGTAATAAAACCAGAAATTCTAAAATTATATATATATATATATATATATCCACACACATACACATATATGTATGCATGCATAGTATCATACATATAAATCATATATGCATAAAATATACATGATATAGATTATACCATATATGTGTGTAAGTATACATATATACATGTGTACACACACACACACACAAACATATGTCACTTTTCATGTTTTTAAGAGAATTTCGACCCAGGGATATATGACCTTATCTCTTATAAGTTTGTCCTGGTTGTAATTAGGAGAAAGCTACTCCTGGTTTTTTCTTCATGCGTGTATAACTGTGAGTGTATACATATGTGCACGTTCCTTTTCTTCCTGTGTTTGTGCCCCCCTCCCCTCCACCCTAGTCTTCTCAGTTGCAAGGATGGGGATTAAAGAATTCCCTTTCAGTCCTGGAGATCTGTCCTGTGGGTTTGCAAGTCAGGCTGCCTTTAGCCGCTGTGTGTGAACAGTGATTTGTTGGAGGCATCACTCTGCCTCTGCAGTCATGTTTTGAGAATGCTGCTTGGTACTCTGTGAGGAGCAAGGAACATAAATGTAATACGCATACAGCTCACGGGCTGCCCGAACCCCAGCAAGGACTGTAAATTCTGATTTTGATGTTTATTTGAAACACAAATATTTTTGAAACTGTCTATTTTATTCCCTGAGACTTCTATAAACCTTGTTTTTTATGCATCATGGAACATGAATAAAGGAAGGAAAGCAAGTGCTGGAGAGAGAGAACAGGTTTTGAGAGAACTTCAGGGGGGTAGGGAGAGGGATGAGGACAAGATCAGGAATCTGCCTGGTACACAAGAATTCCAGTGCTTTTTTCAGTGGAAACTGACAAGTTATATTTTTGCTTCAAATTTAACCTTTCCACTAAACTTGTGCTCTTGAATGCTTAATGAATTAGAATTGTATTTTGGTACATATTTTTTTCATTCTTAGTTTTAGCATGCAAAACTATTCTAAAAAGGATTCAGGTTTTCAGGACACAGGTTCACCTAAGGATTTGAGATGGGAGGATGAAGGTGACCCTTTTAGAATCTCCTTACTTTCTTCCTTTTATTTGCTCTTTTAATTTTATTTTATTGTAAAGATGCTGTACAGAGGGGTTACAATTACATGAATAAGGTAATGAGTACATTTTTTGTCGGCCATTGTTACCCACTCGTTTGTTTTTCTCCCACTATCCCTTCCTTCCCCACCTCCCCCACTCCTCCCTCTACCAGAAGTTGTAAAGTTCATTTCAACATAGTGTCTTGTGAATATTATTGTTGCAATGGGTCATCCTGTGTCCTTATTTCAGCATTTTGTTATTCCCTTACCCCTCCCCAAATTAGATAAATGTCTATACAAGATGCTGGGTACCAAAATCAAGTCCAGTGACAACAGGGGATACACCATAGAGGAAAGAACATACAAAACATACAAAAGAAACAAAAATATCACATAGAACATTAAAAACAACAATAACAAAGAAAAGCCTCTGTGTCCATAAATTGGGGTTCTTTCATTTAGAATCATCTTATATGGTCATATGTACATAGATTTTGAGAGTTGAGAGTTTCTGCTCATCTGATAAGATTATCCGAATATACTATTATTACAAATGAGGGAAACCATGGGACCTATATTTCTTTGGGCCTGGCTTACTTCACTTAATAAGATTTTTTTCCCCAAATCTTTCCATTTCCTAACAAATGGGGCAGTGTTATTCTTTCTGATGGAAGCATAGCATTCCGTTGTGTGTGTGTGTGTGTGTGTGTGTGTGTGTGTGTGTGTATTTATTTATACCACATTCTTGTCCTAAAAATCTCTAAAGGTAGCATAACATATGTCTGAAGAATGCCCTCTAGAGAGTGACTTAATTACCATGGAACAGGCAGGCCTGGGTTCTAATTGTAAAAATACCATTTCCTCATTGTGTGATCTTAGGTAGTTAGTTACCATCTCTGAGCCTCACTTTCCTTTCTTATGAAATAAATGAGTTTATGATATTATAAAATTCAAAGGCTCATTAAGATTAATTGAAATAAGGTAAATAAGTAATCCTATCATTCAAGTGGTTGACTCAGGAGGAGGTGGAGTTTTGGCCAGCATGGGATACATGGTGAAACCCTGTCCCTCCACCCCTCAAAAGTGAAAAAAAAAAAAAAAAACAAGAGGAAAGAGAAGCACACAAAATACGTAGCATCACACTCCATGCATACTAAGTGCTCAAGAATGGTTAAGTGTCCTCTCTATCCTACATCTCTCCCGCCTCCTCTTTTTTCTCTGTGTTCCCTTTTCCTTCCCTCTTAACTTCTGTTCTTCCCTTCTTTTCCTGTCATCTTTCTGTTTTTCTCTTCTCTTCTATATCTTATTTATTTTTTCCCCCTATCCTTTCTTTTTAGTTAATTTAAGCAGAGATAACAAAGCACCACACTCAGGGGTTTCAACAACGGAAATGTGTTTGTTACAGTTCTGGATTCTGGAAGTCTAAGAGCAAGATATCAATCAATCCCTTCCTGGTGAGAGCTCTCTTGCTGGCAAGTACAGACTCACCTTCTCAGTTTGTTCTCAAGGAAGAAACATGGGATCTTTTCCTCTCTCCCTGTTTCTGTCTCTCTGTCTTTGTAACTTTTTGTCTCAATCTCCCTCCTTTCCTTCTTCCCACTCTCTTTCCCTCCCTCTCTCCTTCTTTTCTTTCTTTCCTTCTCTCTCCTTAAGGCTTCTTTGGCCACTAAGCCAACCAAAATGTTCTACCGTGGTAATCTCAGCTTACCACAATTACTTCCCAATGGCTTAATTTTCAACTACTGCCACACCAGAGTTTAGAGAGTCAGTATATGAGAAAACAACTTTTTTCCAAGTACTCAAGGCTTTGAGCTTGCTAGGCAAGCTCTCTATCACTTAAGCCATGTCCCTAGTCCTTTTGCTTAGTTTATTTCTCAGATAGAGTCTTTTACTTTACCTGCTCTGGCCTTGGAAATCAATCCTCCAACTCCTGCCTCCTGAGTAGCTGAAAGCATAAGATCGCACTGCACTGCTTGTTTGTGAAACAGAATTTGGCTAATTTTTTGCCCACGTGGGCCTCCAACTGGTATCCTTCTATCTCTACCTTCTATGTAGCTAGGATTGGAGGGGTGAAGTATCCTCCAAATACCACTTCCTCCTCATCCTCCACCTCTATCATCATCATCATCATCATCATCATCATCATCATCATCATCATGACTTTTCTTCTTATCCCATTTTATAACCATGGGGCTCTTTTAAAATTCTACTAATGAACTGTCTCTGGCAAGACTTTCTCATTGGTTGTAGTTGTGCCATAATATTAGATGTACTTATTAAGATATACTTATCTAGACCAATACCATGAAAGTACCTAATACTATAAGAAGAGAGTGAATAGGCTGGTCACACGGGGGGGGGTTGTTGCTTTTTCTTCCGTTTGGCTATGGAATGATAAGTATTCCCTACAATCAAGAACTCTAATAACAACACATGCTGGAGGGGATGTGGACAGAAAGGAACCTTACTGCATTGTAGACTTGTTCAACCACTTTGGAAAGCAGTATGGAGGTTCCTCAAAAGACTCCACATAGAGCTCCCCTATGACCCAGCAATCCCACTTTTGGGCATTTACGCAAATGATCACAAGCAAGACCACACTAAAGCTACCAGCATGACTATGTTTATTGCAGCATTATTTACCATAGCTAAGATATAGAACCAACCCAGATGCCCCTCAGTAGATGAATGGATCAAGCAAATGTGGAATTCTATGCCTCCATCAGAAAGAATGACATTGCCCCATTTGTTAGGAAATGGAAAGACTTGGAAAAAATTATATTAAGTGAAGTAAGCCAGGCCCAAAGAAACATAGGACCCATGGTTTCCCTTATTTGCAATAACTAGTATATGTCTGAGTCAAGCAGAAAAGGTCAGATAAGTTGATGTTAGGGGAATGAACCCCAAGAGAAGTATTCAATATTTTTTTGTTTCTTTTTTCTTTCATACAATTGTTTCTAACACATTTATAAGATTATTTCTTTGTAGCTTTGTATGTCCCTCCCCCATGGTATAACCCCTGCTTTCACTGTATTTGATGTTGGTATAATTTGTGGAGGGGAAGGGAAAAAACAAATTGTTTAACCAGGGATACAGTTGGACCCATTGCAACAATGAGATGTACAAGTCATTATGTTGAAAAACGAACTTTACAACTTTGGTGAGAGGTGGGGGAAGGATTGGGTGGGGGGAGGAGGGGA